AGAGAGAGAGAGAGAGAGAGAGAGAGAGAGAGAGAGAAGAGAACAGGTAAGTCTCCAACCTCGGGGGGCTGGCGACACGATACTTCCATCGATAGGATGAGCAAAATCAAATGAATCTACCGCTAGAACATGAAATTATAGAAAATGTTTATTTTGAAGAAACAAGTGCCTCACCCGTTGTTCCCCATGCGCGCACAAGAATGGGCGGGCAGCGTTCCTCGTTTGAACGCGATTGAACGCGCACCCCGGTCGTTTGAACGTGCGCATTCGAACGCGAACGTGTGTTCGACGTGTTCACCACGTTACACAGCTAAATTGATTGCGATGCTAAGTTTCTTTTTCTTTTTTTTTCTTTTCTGTTGTCTTTTCCGACTTAGTTCCCTCTCTGTCTCTTTGCGGGGGAACGAACGACTCATTTTTTTTGAACCGTAATTTCGAGTAAGTGACCTAGGCTGGCCTGGCCTTCCACGCTTCACTTACTGCAAGCATGACCTGCTAAATGCTGCGTTGTAGGTCCCCAAAATGGGAGCCCTTGTGGCCGCATTGGTAGGAAGCTCATCACCCCCGCGGAAGGTCATGAGCCCCCTCCTTGCCATCGAACACAGGTACCCGTTAGGAGTAGTCTGATGACTCTCTTTTGAGGAGGGAAGGAAACCGGTCGGTATCCCGTTGTGGGACCACAACGGGCCGAGTCCACAGTCACTTCACGCCGAGTTGAAAATGCAGGGGATCGATCTAAAAGGGTCTCGCTCATGTCGTGACCGTTGAGATCAGGTCCTGTTTTAATAATTCCTTTGCATAAATACTTATAAGTTTTTAAATACTGATAAACAAATTTTGAAGGTTACTTATGCTCCTCATTTATAATACAGCATCGCGGTGCAGAGCGATCTTATAAAAAGTGTTGTCATGCAATTTGTTATTGGCCAATTGGTGTATGGTCGTGGAAACTCTTGCTGTTTGTAAATCGAGATAGCCGTGTTGGGAAATGAGGCACTCAGGCCAAGATTGTCTGGACTCTATTGTCCAGTGTTCCGAGCGTACTGTGTGAGTACGTAGGCTACTGCCAGGCTAAGGCTACTCCAAGGTATGTGATAAAGGCGTTGTCGAGCGCATCGGTCCAACACCACACAGGGCAGCGTGGGACCCTCCCGGCCGCGTCACGCAGGAGTTGGTCTAAATCCTCGTCGCAAATGCATATGGAGCTTTCGCAAGCCGCTCCGGCCAAGTGCGTCAGCCATACCTCTCGCGAGCCCCTATAACAGGATAGGGCCTACGTGAGGCATGACTTAGCTCCACCTTACGGGAGTTGTCACCTCCCTTCAGTGGGCGTATCCCCGCCGAGCTACCAGTCTACAGTACGAAAGCTAATCAGTTGCAATCACAGAGGTGGACCAGCCGAGGGCGTTTCTCGTTCCCATAGCATAGGGGGTACGCGCGGTATTACGCCTCTATCGAACACGCACGCGAACCGACATCTTGAGGGGTTGAGGTCCCAAGCGCGACTCGTCGACGGTCGACTAGGACGCATCCCACACGCGACGCGCATACCACTATAAAGGATATAAAAATAAAACGCACACACATCCACGCACGCACATATACAAATGCAGCACGACACAGAACGAAGAACGCGACAACGCTCCTAGTCCCTCAGTAGTCATCCCATAACTTTTCGATGCGAAAATCAGATAGTCGTTGAGCGCGAGACTTAGTATAAAATCGCGCGAACGAAGGGCTAACTCATATCGACTCGCAATGCAAGCGTACGCAAGCAGTCGCAATGATGGCGTATGTCATGTCCATAATGAAGCGGTCCCTCGTAGATGCGAGTACCGGTTATGATACTCAAGTGTCAGACTCGAAGTATCGTGAGGGCCTACTCCCACACGATATTGCACGGCTGAAGGAATAGCCGTGTGGCCGCCGTGAGACCTCCGACCTTTGACCTGAGCGTCTCGACAGGCAAGGCACATAGGCTCTGCCCGAGGGGTAATCCCTTCTGTGCAGAGTCTAAGGTCTGGGTTGTCTTGGACAAGGACCTTGAAT